CATTATGGTGAACTGCTCTCTCCCCTTCCTCCTCTCCTATAGAGTCCAATGTCGGGCATTTTACTTCAAGATTTATGTAAGTTTTAACATATATAGCGTGAGGCGTAAGCCTCATGCCAGTGAGGCGAGGCGGGCTTCAAGGCGGGCCTCAACCAAGTTGAGGAGGAAGCCTCATAAAAAAAACTCGAGGCGTAAGCATCGAGGCGTTTTTTACTGGAATTGCGCAAAGGCGGGCCTCAAGGCGAGCCTCATATTGCGCAATTTTAAACCATGATGGTGGTTATGAGTTTAGAGCGACTGATGAAAACGATAAGACCATATTAAATTTTTCTTTAGCTTACGATTTTGTAATTGCTAATACCTTTTGAAAGAAAATATATGATTATCTCTTCACTTATAAGAATAGATATAATAAAATTGAGATTGATTATTTTCTTATAAGAAAAATTGATCGTTTAGATTGTAAATATTATAAAGTTATTCAAAGTGAAAATTTATATATTCAATATCGCTTATTAGTTTTGGACTTTATGATAAAGGGGCATAAAATAACAAATAAAGTAAAACGTTGTTTTAAGATTAGATGGGGGCATTTAAATAATATTTACAAAAATATTTTTGAGAGTAAGATATTATATATGAAGATTTTTTTTGTGCATGAGGAAGATAATATTATGTGAGAAAAAGTAGCTAGCGATATTAAGAATGTTGCAAAAAATATATTTGGATTATCAAAAAGAAAAGCACATAATAGTCAAAATAGTTGGTGTTGGAATCAAAATATTCAGGAAGAGATAAAAAAATAAAAATATTTGTTATAACAATTAGTTTAGGTGTAAAAATTATGATAATTGCAAAATATATAAAGAGGTCCGTAAGGAGTCTAAGAAAGGAATATGTGATGAAAAGATTTTAGCTTTTAATGATTTATATAATAGATTAAATACTAATGAGGGCGAAAGATAAATGTATAAGTTAGACAAATAAAGAGATAAGAGTAATAAGGATTTAGTTCAAGTGAAGTGTATTAAGGATGAAGATTAAAAAGTGTTTTTACTAGAAGAAGATATTCAACAAAGGTGGATGAGATATTTTTATAAACTCTTCAATGAAGATTATGAGAATGCGATTGAGTTTTGTGACTTTAACACTCTAAATGAAAATAAAGTTTTTTATTTTTATCGGCGTATTAGTAAAATTGAACTTAGAGAGGCTTTAAATAAAATGAAGTGTGGAAAAGCTGTTGGACTTGATAATATTCAAATAGAGGTGTGTAAATGTTTAGGAGAAGAAGGAATTTCTTGCTTAACTAAACTTTTTAATGTTATTTTGAAGACTAAAAAGATGTTAGATGAGTGGAGAATGAGTGTGTTGATCCCTATTTTTAAGAAATAAAGGTGATGCACAAGATTGTGCGAATTATAGAGGAATTAAGTTAATGTGTCATACTTTAAAACTTTGGGAGAGAGTTATGGAGCATAGGTTGCAGCGTGATACTAACGTTTCTCAAAATCAATTTGGATTCATGCCAGGTAGGTCTACTATGGAAGCCATACATTTATTGAAAGATATGATGGGGAAGCATAGAGAGAATATGATGATCTACATATGATATTTATTGATTTAGAGAAAGCATATGATAAAATTCTAAGAGAAGTGCTATGGAGAGTTCCAGAAAAGAATGGGGTTAATATGCTTATATTCAAGTTATTAACGATATGCATGCAGTAGCTATTACTTGTGTCCAGACACATGGTGTTTTGACCAAGTATATTCCTATTTCAGTTGGATTACATCAAGGATCAGCCTTAAGTCCATATCTTTTTTCTTTTGTCATGGATGTTCTCAGTAGACATTTGCAAGAGGTTGTACCTTGGTGTATGCTTTTTGCTGATGATATTCTTCTTGTTGATAAGGCTAGGGAGGGAGTTGAAGGTATACCTGAATTATGGAGGTCAACCTTAGAGTCTAAAGACTTTTGTTTGAGTATATCTAAAACTGAATATATGGAATGTAATTTTAGTAATAATAGTTCTAGTGGGGGGATTGTGACATTGGATGATCAAGTCATTAATAAGAGTACACATTTTAGATATCTTGGGCGAAATAGATGGGGATATTATTAGTAGAATTCAAGTTGGATGGTTGAAGTGGGAAATGCATTGGTCTTGTTGTGTGATAGAAAAGTCCCCCTTAAACTTAAGAGAATATTCTATAAGATGATGGTTAGACCTACAATGCTTTATGGTGCAGAATGTTGGCCATTAAAAGAGAAGCATAATATTAAGTTAAGTGTTGCAAAGACGAGGATGCTTAGGTGGATGAGTGGCTTTACTCTTAGAGGCAGGTTACAGAATGAGCATATACATGAAAAAGGTTAGAGTAGCTCAAGTGGAAAATAAGATTAGTAAGAGTCGCCTTAAATGGTTTGGTCACATAAAATGGAGGTCTTTCGATAACCCGGTTAGGAAAGTAGATGTATTAAATTTGACTTATGTTAAGAAGGATAGAGGTAGACCTAAAAAGACTTGGTAGACCTAAAAAGACTTGGTTAGAAAATATTAGAAATGACCTTTCTTTATTAGATTAAAATGAGAATTTAACTTTTAACAGGGCATAATGGAAAAAAGGATTTATGTAGCCGACCCCACATAGTGTGATAAAGGCTTGATGTTATTATTGTTGTTTAATTTTTATACACTATTTTTAAAATATAAAAATTATAATACCGTGTCTAACCCGTGTCTGTGTTCTATATTTTCAATAATTGGTATCCTGTGTTCGTGTCACCGTGTCTGTATTTGTGCATCATAGAAAAAAATAAAGAAAAGTCCTATGATTCACAACCAAGATTACCTCATATGAACTCTTCTTCTCCTTGCTTCAGTAAAGTCTCTAAAATCCTCCAAGAATCTTAATCATCTAGAGGGTATATGAAGAATGTGAGAGATCTCCAATTTTTTGTTTAAACACATGAAACCCTAACCCAAAAGGGTATATTGTGGAAGCCTCCAAAGCTAGGATAGAAAAAGGCTAAGCTTACACTTCGTCATGTAACCACCACAAGCAACCAAGAAAGGAAGAAAGGTGCACTCCATCTAAGACAATAATAAATGATTCCCAGGAGCTTGCAACATAGCTTCAATTAAGGGTGACATCGAGTAAGGTTCAAGCAAGTCAGAATTTACTCAAAATAAAGGAGTGCAATATACTCAAAATCAAAATATCTTTTCACCCCAACTAATCCCCAATCATTCTTCAAATGAGTTTGAGTTTACATCT